TATATCTATATCTATCTATCTATCTATCTATCTATATATATACATATATATATATAGTATGTGTACACACATACATATAGACATATATACATACACACATACAATATATATATACACATTTCTGAGCACATTTGTAGCGTTCATTTCAGAAAAAAATCTTAAACCCTCAAACGATTCACCAAAAGTCCAACAAAGCCTTTTAAATCTATATATTAATGTACATGTGTACTTTCCCTACCTGACACAAGTCCTCGCTCTCGTCAGACCCGTCAGAACAGTCTTCGCCTCCGTCGCAAATGTAGTGGGAGAAGATGCACTGGCTGCTGTGGGCGCATTCCAGTTGGCCCGGGGGACACTGCGCCGCGGCTGCGTCCACCGGGGGATAAGCAGAAGGGGGGTGGGGATGGGGGTGTGGGAGGGAGGGGGGGTGGAGAAAACGAGTGTTGGTTTGATGTTTCATCGATGGGGTGTAAGAGCAGGTGTATTTGTATGTTGTATATGTGTGTGTATGTGTTTATATATATAGATATATGTGTGTCTGTGTTTGAATATGCTATCAGTGTTGCTCCGTTAATTGAAATTTGGTTAATAATACACTAATCAAACTGTGTTGCATCAGTCGAACCCTTCGAAAGATATTTTTTACATAACAAAAAAATAACGGCTATTTTTCTTAACGAAAAAATACATATTACTTTTTAACTCTAGTGCTTTCAAAACTAAAAATTGCAAAAAAATGCTGATTCCCTAATAAATCAAGACATTTACTGCTGATGATCTTTAAACCATTCCTACTTCAGTTCCTAAAGGTGTCAACCATGGCTTAAATATTTAAATCTAAAAGAGAGAGAAAAAAACAATCTTCATTTAACAATAATGTAATGCACTCATATCATATTTCTTCCTTTCTATAACTATAAAAGTCTATTACCTGGCACGTTGACTCTAAGGAAAATATAAAATAGTAAAAACACCCAACCTGATGCTTGACACCGGCATGACATCTACTAACCATGACGAGCCAAGACGACGGCCGCCAAAACCACCTCCAGAATCGCCATGTCTTTCGTCTGCCTTGAAAAGTCCTTCGAAATCCTGGATGCTTATTCCTGTTGTGAAAGGCTCTAAGTTAGGTCAGCCTGCTTGTGCGTCTGTCTGTATGTTTAGGTTTGTTTGTTTGGTGGTTTAGGTGGATTTGTGTGTTTGTTTTTGGTTTGATTTATTCTTATTATGATTAAAATGAAAACTTGAATTGATCGAAGCGAAGCAGGACGCGAGGTGTCGAACACTTTGTCAGATATAGTTTAAAAAAATAGGTTTTGCTACGTCCGATAGAGAGATAGAGAGATAGATATAACTATAGATAAAGATATAGATATATACTTATACATACATATGTACACGCACACGCACACGCACACGCACAAACACGCACACACACACAACACACCCACACACACACACACACACACACACACACACACACACACACACACACACACACACACACACACATACACACACACACACACACACATATATATATATATATATATATATAACTCTTTCATTATCAAATTATCTTATATCCATTTATCGCAGTTTCTATCCCACTCATTCCCATTGCAACTCCTAAGCAATGCAACGGAGGACCGACTCACCCTTGTTGCAGGTGAGAGGAGAATGACACTCCATGCCACTGTCATAGTCATTTAAAACCTTCACAGTGTGTCATCCTCTCCCCCTCCCTCCCTCCCTCCTCGCCATCTTCATCCCCTATCCATCCTTTCCATCCTCCCCCCCTCCCCCTCTCCATCCTTCCCCTTCCCCCCTCTCCCCCACTCCCTCCCAAGAGCTCATCTAATCGGAAATTTCACACAAAAAAATATTTCACAATAGCATCATAATGCAAATTTCAAAGGAACAATTGCAGTCAATACGAAGTGAAGTGAAGAATACATATTGTTGCAAAATTCGCTCCTTTGTTATTATCATTATTATTATTATCATTATTATTATTATTTTTATCATTATTATTATTATTATTATTATTATTATTATTATCATTATTATTATTATTATTATTATCATCATCATTGTCATTTTTATTGTTATTATTATTATCATTATTTTAAGTAATCTTTACAAATCAAGAAAACGTATATTTGACGAGGTCCTTGTGAGTTAGGGCACGCCTGGCTATCAAGACAAACCGGAAGACAACACTATATTACAGAGCTAATTGTTTTTTTTTTCCTCTCTCTCTCTCTAGATCTACCAGTGTAAAACCTGCATCACGGAAGAATATGTTCTTCTGTCATTATTTCTTATTCAATTTATCATTTATCATGTTTTTATTCGCATTTCAGTAAGAATAACCAAAGAATTGTTTACAGTCGACAATAGAAATGTGTCACCTCTTTATAAAAGTTTATGCTAACGAGAATTTTTTACAATTAGTGCATCCTATACAATACGGCTGAAATGAACAGCTATACTA